AGTTGATGGTACATTTGTCTCAGTCGTCGACTGCTTAAGCTCGATCGTCGACGGTACACTTGTCTCAGTCGTAGATTGCTCGGTAGCCGTTGTTGATGGTACATTTGTCTCAGTCGTCGACTGCTTAAGCTCGATCGTCGACGGTACACTTGTCTCAGTCGTATATTGCTCTGTAGCAGTAGGTGTTGATGCATTTGTCTCAGTCGTCGACTGTTTAAGCTCGGTTGTCGACGATACACTTGTCTCAGTCGTAGATTTCTCATTAGCCGAAGTTGACGGTACATTTGTCTCAGTCGTCGACTGCTTAAGCTCGACCATCGACGGTACACTTCTCTCAGTCGTAGATTGCTCGGTAGCCGTAGTTGATGGTACATTTGTATCAGTCGTCGACTGTTTAAGCTCGGTCGTCGACGGTACACTTGTCTCAGTCGTAGATTGATCAGTAGCTGCAGTTGAAGGCAGTTTTATATCAGTCTTAGATTGCTCAGTAGCCGTAGTTGGTGGTACACTTGTCTCAGATGCAGGTTGCTCAGTACCAGTAGTCGATGGTACACTTATATCAGTCGTAGATTTCTCAGTAGCCGAAGTTGATGGTACATTTGTCTGAGTCGTCGATTTTCTAAGCTCAATCGTCGACGGTACACTTGTCTCAGTCGTAGATTGCTCGGTAGCCGTAGTTGATGGTAAATTTATCTCAGTCGTCGATTGTTTAAGCTCAATCATCGACGGTACATTTGTCTCAGTCGTAGATTGCTCGGTAGCCGTAGTTGATGGTACATTTGTCTCAGTCGTCGACTGCTTAAGCTCGATCGTCGACGGTACACTTGTCTCAGTCGTAGATTGCTCGGTAGCCGTTGTTGATGGTACATTTGTCTCAGTTGTCGACTGTTTAAGCTCGGTCGTCGACGATACACTTGTCTCAGTCGTAGGTTTCTCAGTAGCCGAAGTTGATGGTACATTTGTCTCAGTCGTCGACTGCTTAAGCTCGACCATCGACGGTACACTTCTCTCAGTCGTAGATTGCTCGGTAGCCGTAGTTGATGGTACATTTGTATCAGTCGTCGACTGTTTAAGCTCGGTCGTCGACGGTACACTTGTCTCAGTCGTAGATTTCTCGGTAGCCGTAGTTAATGGTACATTTGTATCAGTCGTCGACTGTTTAAGCTCGGTCGTCGACGGTACACTTGTCTCAGTCGTAGATTGCTCAGTAGCTGCAGTTGAAGGCAGTTTTATATCAGTCTTAGATTGCTCAGTAGCCGTAGTTGATGGTACACTTGTCTCAGATGCAGGTTGCTCAGTACCAGTAGTCGATGGTACACTTATCTCAGTCGTAGATTTCTCAGTAGCCGAAGTTGATGGTACATTTGTCTCAGTCGTCGACTGTTTAAGCTCAATCGTCGACGGTACACTTGTCTCAGTCGTAGATTGCTCAGTAGCCGTAGTCGATGGTACATTTGACTGAGTCGTCGATTGCTTAAGCTCAATCGTCGACGGTACACTTGTCTCAGTCGTAGATTGCTCAGTAGCTGCAGTTGAAGGCAGTTTTATATCAGTCTTAGATTGCTCAGTACCAGTAGTCGATGGTACACTTATCTCAGTCGTAGATTTCTCAGTAGCCGAAGTTGATGGTACATTTGTCTCAGTCGTCGACTGTTTAAGCTCAATCGTCGACGGTACACTTGTCTCAGTCGTAGATTGCTCAGTAGCCGTAGTCGATGGTACATTTGACTGAGTCGTCGATTGCTTAAGCTCAATCGTCGACGGTACACTTGTCTCAGTCGTAGATTGCTCAGTAGCTGCAGTTGAAGGCAGTTTTATATCAGTCTTAGATTGCTCAGTACCAGTAGTCGATGGTACACTTATCTCAGTCGTAGATTTCTCAGTAGCCGAAGTTGATGGTACATTTGTCTCAGTCGTCGACTGTTTAAGCTCAATCGTCGACGGTACACTTGTCTCAGTCGTAGATTGCTCAGTAGCCGTAGTCGATGGTACATTTGACTGAGTCGTCGATTGCTTAAGCTCAATCGTCGACGGTACACTTGTCTCAGTCGTAGATTGCTCAGTAGCTGCAGTTGAAGGCAGTTTTATATCAGTCTTAGATTGCTCAGTACCAGTAGTCGATGGTACACTTATCTCAGTCGTAGATTTCTCAGTAGCCGAAGTTGATGGTACATTTGTCTCAGTCGTCGACTGTTTAAGCTCAATCGTCGACGGTACACTTGTCTCAGTCGTAGATTGCTCAGTAGCCGTAGTCGATGGTACATTTGACTGAGTCGTCGATTGCTTAAGCTCAATCGTCGACGGTACACTTGTCTCAGTCGTAGATTGCTCAGTAGCTGCAGTTGAAGGCAGTTTTATATCAGTCTTAGATTGCTCAGTACCAGTAGTCGATGGTACACTTATCTCAGTCGTAGATTTCTCAGTAGCCGAAGTTGATGGTACATTTGTCTCAGTCGTCGACTGTTTAAGCTCAATCGTCGACGGTACACTTGTCTCAGTCGTAGATTGCTCGGTAGCCGTAGTTGATGGTACATTTGTCTCAGTCGTCGACTGCTTAAGCTCGATCGTCGACGGTACACTGGTCTCAGTCGTAGATTTCTCGGTAGCCGTAGTTGATGGTACATTTGTCTCAGTCGTCGACTGTTTAAGCTCGGTCGTCGACGGTACAATTGTCTCAGTCGTAGATTGCTCGGTAGCCGTAGTTGATGGTACATTTGTCTCAGTCGTCGACTTTTTAAGCTCGAGCGTCGACGATACACTTGTCTCAGTCGTAGATTGCTCAGTAGCTGCAGTTGAAGGCAGTTTTATATCAGTCTTAGATTGCTCAGTAGCAGTAGGCGATGCTACACTTGTCTCAGTTGTAGGTTGCTCAGTACCAGTAGTCGATGGTACACTTATCTCAGTCGTAGATTTCTCAGTAGCCGAAGTTGATGATACATTTGTCTCAGTCGTCGACTGTTTAAGCTCGATCGTCGACGGTACACTTGTCTCAGTCGTAGATTTCTCGGTAGCCGTAGTTGATGGTACATTTGTCTCAGTCGTCGACTGTTTAAGCTCGGTCGTCGACGGTACACTTGTCTCAGTCGTAGATTGCTCGGTAGCCGTAGTTGATGGTACATTTGTCTCAGTCGTCGACTGCTTAAGCTCGAGCGTCGACGATACACTTGTCTCAGTCGTAGATTGCTCAGTAGCCGTAGTTGATGGTACATTTGTTTCAGTCGTCGACTGCTTAAGCTCGATCGTCGACGGTACACTTGTCTCAGTCGTAGCTTGCACGTTAGACGTAGTTGATGGTACACTTGTCTCAGTCGTCGACTCTTTAAGCTCGAGCGTCGACGGTACACTTGTCTCAGTCGCAGATTGCACGGTAGACGTAGTTGAAGGCAGTTTTATATCAGTCCTAGATTGCTCAGTAGCAGTAGTCGATGGTACACTTGTCTCAGTTGTAGGTTGCTCAGTACCGGTAGTTGACGGTACACTTATCTCAGTCGTAGATTGCTCACTAGCCACAGTTGATGGTACACTTGTCGCAGTCGTCGACTGTTTAAGTTCAGTCGTCGAAAGTACCTTGGCCTCAGTCGTGGATTGCTCAGTTGCTGTAGTTTTAGCTATATTTGCCCCAGTAATCGGCTGCTTAGGGTTAGTAGTCGAAGATATAGAAGAATTTGTTTTATTCAGGGTTTTTGAATTTTTATAATTATTGTCTAGATATATAGCTTCTTGATTCCAAAATTCATCTTCATCGTTTTCCACAAGCTCTTCAGCTTTGCTCACTAACTCCTTTTCTGTCATTTCTGTGTGTCTGCCACCGTTCAATTTACTTTGCATTTCTCTTATTTCCTTTTCGCGTTTTTTTTCTTCCTTTTCCGCTTCTTGTCTCCAAAATTCTAGANTTGAATTTTCATAATTATTGTCTAGATATATAGCTTCTTGATTCCAAAATTCATCTTCATCGTTTTCCACAAGCTCTTCAGCTTTGCTCACTAACTCCTTTTCTGTCATTTCTGTGTGTCTGCCACCGTTCAATTTACTTTGCATTTCTCTTATTTCCTTTTCGCGTTTTTTTTCTTCCTTTTCCGCTTCTTGTCTCCAAAATTCTAGATCGTCAAATTTCTCCGCTTGTAACGATTTCTGTTCTACTTTTTCATATGCTTTATTTTGATTTTCAATTTTTTTCACTTCTTCTAGATATTCGTTCAGAGCTGCGAATTCATCACTATTTTCGGTAAGAGATATCCTGGTGTTCAATTCAAATTGAGATTCCTCAGTGTATTTTGATAGTTGTTTGTTAGATTCAAAGTCACTCTCTTCGCGAGTTTCGTTTCGTTTCTCATTTGTATATTCATTGGTCTTCTTAGATACGTCATGTTGAGTAATAGATTCTGCTTTTTTGATAGTCATATTTTTTTTACTTTTCCACTCCTGTGTTTTATTTTCCTTGAAATTTTCGATCTTTTCTTCAAAATGTTTGATTTCTTTAATGTTTTTAAGGAAACCTTTTAAGTCTGTAGTTTTCGTTACATTCTCTTGATTTTCAATAGCAGCATTAGGTACCAATTCCTCTTTGTAAATAAATTTTACAGGATTAGTATCGTCTGAGTTTTCATATTTATTATCTTTTATGACTTCTTCTATAATCTTTTCTAGTACTTCTTGATTGCTTTCTTTGCTTAGTAAGTTATCAGCAGGTTGTGTGCTTGGCGGTAGTAGAGGAATTTGGTATGCTGAATCTGTAGTCAGTGGTTCTACATTTTGCGTTTTATCCAAAGCATTTGTCGTTGCAGGTCTGACTATGTAGTGTCCTTTTAATACTGTGTCTTTGTTAAGTTTTAATTGATTATTCGATGATATTTCTCCATTACCAACTGCTGACGTGGTCTGCTCATGAGTATTCGTCGTCCATTGTATTTCTGGTTTCTTATCAGTTTCATTAACTTCATTTGGTTTTTTAATGATTGGGTCAATAGTATTGGCGACACTATCGATTTGTCCATTACCTTCAGTTGGTTGCTTGGGAACTGTATTTTCATTGATATGAGACTCCGTAGTTACATCATCCAAATTTAGACTAACACGCGTAGGTAAATTGCTATTTTTTGCATGATTAGTTTCGCTTTGTGTATCTTTAGGCTGTATACTTGGTTGTCGCACTGGTATCCTCGCGTTGGCATGTAAATTGTGTTTATTTTCCGCTGCTCTGAAGGGTTTGCCGTTCAAATGCCGAGCGCTCCTGGTAGGTTGTACCGGCTGAACTCTGCCCTGTTGATTGGCGAAATAGTTTTGAAAGTGTTTATTAATCGCAGAATTTTCAAAAAACGAACTTGGCGCTCTGTATCTGTTCCCGTTTTCAGGTCCTTTGTTTAATAGATGATCTAACGTATAGTGTTCATTGGATTCTGAAAACAAAAATGTGTTTTAGTGTGTGTTAAAATTTAAAGACCGCGACTTCGCTTACATTTTTTTCCCTACCTATTTTTTTATTTTGTTGTTGCTTAGATTGATGGATGAGGTCACAGCCCACCTGGTGTTAAGTGGTTACTGGAGCCCATAGACATCTACGACGTAAATGCGCCACCCACCTTAAGATAAGTTCTAAGGTCTCAAGTATAGTTACAACGGCTGCCCCACCTTTCAAACCGAAACGCATTACTGCTTCACGGCAGAAATAAGCGGGGTGGTGGTACCTACCCGCGCGGAATCACAAAAGGTCCTACCACCTATTCGCTGATAGCCTATGGGGCTATTCTAGCTATGCTATGTATGGTAGGTGAACGCACGGGGCTCAACTTGAGAGAGTGTGCTAACGCTGCCCCTAGCAAAAGCAGTGTTTTTCAGAATCTACCGCCGGATCGTAATCGCGACCCACTGAAGAGATCCGGCGAAAAACCTCTCTCTATGAGCTTTGTTTTTTGTCTCTATGAGCTTTGCGTTGTCTGGGTCGGATATGTTCGCTTGGTGATTTCGTAAAAGCGTTCCTAGAACTTTACAGTGGCACACTGAGATCTCTAACTGACATTTACTGGTAGCAGAACGTATTGTAAACCGACAAGGGTAGGTCCCAAGTAGGTCGTGCCAATTTAGGACTGATAATTTATTACGACTTTTGTTTTTTTATCTTGCCAAAGTGAGACAACACCTTGTAGAGTGAGACAACCGTTATAGTTGATAATTAACACTTCGATCTAATTTTTAACTTAGAAATCTAGACATTCTAGCTATGTCTATGCGCTTCGATAACAACTTAACAGCAGATTGCATAGTCACAATATTGAACTCATTGAAGAAACAACTCGAAAATATTTAACACGCTTCTGTCAGACTGTTTGTACTTATGAGTTAAACGGGTCCTAATATGTGGAGTGAGAAGGACTATCTCAGTATATTAAACAGTGTCTGCTGAAAGGTAGCTAATGAAGGTTGCGCCATAGAGTAGCAAGTGGAAAGTTTTTAAAAACAGCGCCGTAAACTATTTTCGTAGAATACTAAATTAAGAAGCACATTTCACTCTGTTTATAACTGCTATATACATATTGTTACGACGGTAAGAGTACTGCCATCTGTCGTCGAATAGCAGCAACGAATATCAGAAGAACTAGTAATATCGAGAACGCTCGAGAAGTGTAACGCCATCTAGTATCAAATAGCGGTATAATTGTAAAGTTGTCGTGTCAAAGACAGTTAGTAAGCGATTTTACTCGAAGCGAAGCAGAGAACGGATGACCTGAAGCGAAGCGGAAGAAGTAAATTGCGAATTGTAAATTATTCCTGACTTTGATGAATCTTCCAACAATAGCTTGCTATTTACAGGTAGACGCTTTTTCAAATTGTCCCCCACTTCCTTACTTCTACCATCGATGCCTATTTATAACCAACCATCTAAAAATATATTTAGGTTGTAGGTATATCGATATTGTCAATAAAGTCATAGTCATGTAAACATATTTGATATTTAATTATGTGTTAAAGTAACTGTGTTTTTAATTGAAAAATACCTACCTACTATTAATTTATTAAAGACAAATAAAGTTTGAACCGACAATAGCTTTTGTTCGATTCCATTTAAAATAATTCTAGAAACTCGAACATAACAAGAGGAGCGGTGTCCTCTACATAATTGACGTACAAATTAGTAATATTACTGTTTGTGTTGTAAATAAAGTGAGTAAATATGTAAATATACGTACTTTTTGCAAATGGCGGATCACAGAGAGCTGGTTGCATCTGAAATAACACCAACGAAAAAATTAAAATAATATTTTTTCGTTACTTGAGGTAAATAAAAATTCATAAAAAATATAATTTTTTAATGAATGATTTTTTAGTTTAGTGCAGCGTTTCCCAATCTGTAGTTCGCAGACCTTTGGGGCACGCGACGTCTCGTTGAGGATACGTGAAAATGAAATTTGGTAATGACGGAAATCTTGAAAATTTAAATCAGTAATCTAAACATTATTACGACGTATGACACCTACAAGGGGCAGTCCGAAATGAACCTTATAACTTAAATCTTACATGACAGAATCGGACCAACCAATATACCTTATGAGAAACGAGAAATATTTAGTGAAATATGTATGGAAACACTTCATTAGGGTTTGCGGGGTACGAAAATAAAGATTGGGAAGCGCTCGATTATTGTGTTTCAGACATTATGTCTAATACACAAATAACGTCAGCTTGACGCATCGCACGCGGTTTTACGGTAGGCAGCGACTTGGCTCTGCCTCTGGCATTGCTGAACTCCATGGGCGATGGTAACCACTCACCATCTGGTGGGCCGTACGCTCGTCTGCCTATAAGGGCAATAAAAAAATCCTCATCGTACTCTAGTGCTATGAAGAAAATAAAAATTAAAACGTGTTTATCCAGGTAGACCTTTGTTGATGCTTTAAATCATCATGACTCGGCATGCAGTTTCAGCGCTGGCAGGTATCAGCGAGAAACTCAGGGTTTACTCTTTCCTTTTTTTTTCTACCTGTGCTGATAGCCTTGAGAGGCTATTTCAGCTTCACCCTAACGTTTGTAGGTGAGCTCACGGGGCTCAACCGGAGAGTTGCTAACACTGACCCTAGCAAGAGCAGTGCTTCGCAGAATCTACCACCGGATCGGAAACGCGACCCACTGAGAAGATCCGGCGAGAAACTCAGTGGGCTGTGTCTATGGGCTAGTTCATAAGAGGACGGTGACCGAAGGCTCTTTACTAAACACAGGTATGTGTATGTGTATAATAACACAGAAAGTTTACTAATTATTCAATTATTTCTTTAAGCTATCTATTTGACGAACTAAGCGGGGTGGTTTTGAAATTCTGCTCCGAAAGCAGTAGGNCCACTGAGAAGATCCGGCGAGAAACTCAGTGGGCTGTGTCTATGGGCTAGTTCATAAGAGGACGGTGACCGAAGGCTCTTTACTAAACACAGGTATGTGTATGTGTATAATAACACAGAAAGTTTACTAATTATTCAATTATTTCTTTAAGCTATCTATTTGACGAACTAAGCGGGGTGGTTTTGAAATTCTGCTCCGAAAGCAGTAGGCAGGATCTTCTTGATCTAGTTCGGTGTGCTTAGTGCGAGTTTTTTAACGTTCTCGATAGCGTAAAAGTTAGCTCATATTTGTATGGAGTGGGATCGTTTGCGTACGTTTGCCGCTAGGGGCGCTGGCCCAACTGCATACTAAATTGGGTTAACTTTAACGCTATCAAAAACGTTAAAAAACTCGCACTAAGCACACTGATACTGTTTCTTCGATCCATTTGATCGCTGCCACCGAGAAGCGTTCTAAGAGTGAATTATCATTTTCTCCAGAAGTCTTTGGAGTAACGCTGCTTTTGTCGAGAAGACCATTGCATGGCACCTCCACATCTTCAGTGTATACCGCCTTCCGTCGTTATTCATCTATAAGGACCCTCTTAGCCATCAGGATTTTGCGCTTCACCCAGAATAAATTGTCTTTGTAAAAATTGTCTTGTTGAACATTGTTGTTGTTGTTTTTGAAATTGTATTTTTGTCTATCATTCCACAATCGATATTCACACCGCAAACTACACTATTTCACGACAGAGATTATTATTCACTTCACAAACGATCCACAGATCGCGTTACATCCCTCGAACAGATAGATAAAAACAAAAACTGTAGCACAATTCAACAAAACAAATAAATGTCATGTAATTCTATTCATTTCTATCACTACCGCAACCTGTAAACTATTCGGAATACATAGATATAAAAATAGTTTTCTCTGTGCAATCATTAATATATAAAGTCGGCTAACATTAAACCACAATTGCGTAAGAAAATGTTTTAAAACTTTGCGAAAAAGCGTACTCACTAATGCGATGTATAGAACGATAGCGCACAACACCTTCATCCTGCAAGGCCCAAGACAATGTCTCTATGGCCCGGTGAAGAACACACAACGAATAAAAACATATCTGCTTTTATATAAAACGAACAATTGTATCAATAATTTTGTCGATTCGTGACAGCGTAACGACGAAATCTTTGGTGAGTTATTAGGCTGTCTGTATGAACGAGATAATATGATATTTTCTTGGATTTTCACGAGTCGTAGAAATAATTAAAACTACTTTTGGAACGAAGTTCCTTATCGCGCGTTCTGAAAGGGGCCTAGACGGAAAAAATTCTTACGAAAAGTTGTCACGACACTTTTTAGATCCGTCATTCTGACCAATCAACGTGTAGGCGCTTATCGCGTGACATTGCTCGTATCCGATTGGTCCGCGTAATGAGTACAGTTTCTCGAGATAGCGTTTCAACAATAGTAATTTAGTTCATAGTATTGTTGTTTTCTTCTTCATAATGCCGTAATTTATTATTATAACTTAAAAAAAATTTACAATTCCTTCACTAATTAATCGAAAGGAACTTCGTTCCATCCGGGTGTCCCTTGACACCTCTGAAGTTTTTTTAGTTTTAGGATTTAATCTCCCGTCTTTTGAGTGATTACGTTATTTCAGACGTTCCGAATACTTTACAGTGTTAATTATAAAATCATTTATCTTATGAATAAGCATATCTTAAATCACAATTTGTTAAGATTTTTCTTTAATTAATTTTTGCACTTACTCTATGTAGGACGATATCTGATTAATCGGGAGGATGGTTACTTTTGATGGACCTCCACAACAAAGCGCTAGATGAATCGAATTCCTTACGAAGCTTTTTAAGACTTGTTTCTCTGCATCTCTTTATAGCTTTGGTTGGATAACTACCTCGCAGTGTAACTAATGTTAAACTTTCATATACTAAGGCAAAGTTACGGCTTTTGGAATAACATATTCTTACGAGAGGAACGCACGTGGGCTTGACGTTAGATGTGGACAGGGCCTTGAAGATTCTGCGACATAACACGCCCATGAAGAAATGGTTTTTTACTGGTGGTAGGACCTCTTGTGAGTCCGCGCGGGTAGGTACCACCGCTTTGCCTATTTCTGCCGTGAAGCAGTAATGCAGTTTCGGTTTGAAGGGTAGGGCAGCCATTGTAACTATACTGAGATCTTAGAACTTATATCTCAAGGTGGGTGATGTATTTACGCTGTAGATGTCTATGGGCTCCAGTAACCTCTTAACACCAGGTGGGCTGTGAGCTCGTCCAACTATCTAAGCAATAAAAAATAAATAAAAAAATACGCAGGGAGATAAGTACGAACTTAGTGATAACATTGAAGGGAGTAAATGGTGGCGGAATTCTTAGCAGCAGGGTCGCATCACGTATCATCTCATTAGTAGTCGGAAAGAGGCTAGTTTTAAGAGCTTTTACGAGTTTCAAGAGAGAGTTTTAAGATCATTTATGTACCGCTATAGTATTAGTGAAAGAGACGAACTCCAATTGAGTTCGATAGGAGATAGGAGATGATAGGAGAATAAATGAATAACTCCATTGCCAATGTCTCTGTGGAGTTTTTATTGTGAAAGAGTAATTTTACATTGGACCTTCATTGACCATTGCGACAATTTAAAAGAGTGATAACGTCATGTAGTTAACGACGTACAAAGAGTTTGCGGGTGGCCTTAAATTGAGCACATTAATAACACCTAAATAAATAGTGCGATTTGTAATATCGTTAAACTTAATTGCGATGTCAAGTTAATCACGTCGGCGTAGACATTAGAGAATTAAGGTATTTAAATTTAATCGATCGTTGCCTCTTTGATAATTAGTATTTATTATTTGTACACTATACATTTCCTCATGTCATCCGATCTTGTTGCTTCTAGGGCTGTGTCTGATACTATATTATGCCCTAAACTTTTACCTCTAAGTATATTACTCTAACCTCTGTTCGTCTTCAAACAGACATTGTAGATTTTTTTATTGTCCTTATAAGGATACGGCCTGATGGTGAGTGGTTAATGTCGCCCATGGATTTCAGCAATGCAAGAGGCAGAGCTAAGCCGCTGCCTACCGTTAAATACTCTTCACAAGCCTCGTTTGAAGACGGACATGTCATAGCGCTCGAGAAACACCGTTGAGGAGAGCTCATTGTAAAGACTGACGGTACGTGGCAAAGATCTCTGGATACGCACAGTGGATGAACGTAGTGGCTCTAGGTAGTATGGATGAACTCTATTCCGGTGGTGGGCGGTGTGATGGTAAAAACGAGATGATGGGATCCTCTAAAAAACTTAATATTTCGGTCCGGGCAACGTTTCTTGCCAGGTCATTGTCATGAAATATCTGGTGCATTTTTTTCAAAATTTTCTTACGGAATCTCCGAGTTTGGCCATCAGCCAACATTTGCCTTACTTTTGCCATTGGAAGCGAATGTCACTTGGTTCTCTGTTGGCCTCTCTGTTCGAAGGTTACAATGTTTGGATCATCGTTCTGCTGTGTAGGTAGAATTCTTTGTACGACCCAGTGATAGGTACCGGTAGATTCCATCATCCTGTCTGCTTCTGTCGTAAAGCAGTTGTTCGTTATCGTTTTGGGGGTAGGAGTGATAGCTACAATATACTGTGGGTTTTTATCTGACGATTCATGACGAGGCAGTGTATTAAACAAAAGAATCAGAACTTTATAACCTTTTTTTTCGGACTGGACGCTGGACCTCTTTCGAGGTCTCCGCGCCTAGGGGGCGCGCTCGGTATGTGGGACTGATCAGTATGAAATTGTCGTGATTTTTTTCAGTTGTATTCCTTTCAATTTTATTTTAAATTACTTTTTTAGTTCATTCTTTACTTTTTTACTATTCGCATTGTTGTTTGTACTTACAATTGAGGTGACCTATTGTGTCTTAAGGTCGATTTACCGATGCTCTGAACAAAGGATCTCTTTGGCGCATACAATTGAAATAAATTAAAATTGGAACAAGCTTTGCTCCAACAAAACCTTCTTGGAGGTTTGAAGAGAGCTTCCATATACCAACGTGGATGATCCAGAAAGGTAACCACAATATTTATTCAGAGAACTAATTGAGTTATTAGTTATACGCACTAATTAGTTAAACAACGTATGAGAATTGTAAAAACGTCACGACTGTATACATTTCAACTTCAGCTGAACAAATAGATCCATTGCAAATTTGAAGACAGACTACTCCGGTGTAGAAGCGACCGAATTGTAAATGTTAATTGACTAAATTAAGAAATTTGCATGCGAATTTAAGGACTAGAATATAATGTAGTTAGAGGATAGTATTTTCATCGGCTTTCACAGGTCTTAGATGTAATTAAAATAATAATAAGTTGCCAATAAGCCTGATATTGTGATATTAGATCGGTCTGCGCGTCGAGCAGTGTTAGTTGATATCAACATTCCTCACGACGAGAGCCTCGTGAAGGCAGAAAGGGACAAATTAATAAAATATTTAGAACTGGCCCGCGAGACTACAGTCATGTCTCTTCTTTTTGTTGCTTAGATGGTTGGACGAGCTCACGGTCCACCTGGTGTTAAATGATTACCGGAGTCCATAGACATCTACAACCTAAATGCCCCACCCACCTTGAGACATGAGTTCTAAAGCTCTAAGTTTCTAAGGTTCACTTTTAACAGTACAAAAGCTGCCCCGCCCTTTGAGCCGAAACGCATTACTGCTTCCCGGCAGAAATAGGCGGGGTGGTGGTACCTACCCGTGCGGACTCACAAGAGGTCCTACCAACAGTAATTACGCGAATTATAATTTTTGCGGGCTTGATTTTTATTACACGATGTTATTGCTTCACCGTTTTCTTGAGGATAGGTAAGATTGGCGCAGGATAATGAGAAAGTTATTAAACGAGGCCAGGACCCTCAGCATTGAGGATTACCAATGCAAGGAGGTTTCCTTTACCGCGGAAGTCAGTCGTAAACGTTTGGTAAGTACGTATTTCATTGGAAAAATTCGTACCTACCTGCCGGCGGGATTCGAACACAACCACACCGTTGTATGGTTTGATACGAATGCACCGAGCGTCTTATCATTAGGCCACGACGACTTCTTATGTGGTAGTATTAGACTCATATTAAGCGTGTAACATCAATCGTGATATAAACTAAAATCTAAAGTTTCAGTGGTCACTTACGATCAGCTCGTAATTTCTAACATAAGTATTGTTTTTTTTTCCCACTGCAGAAAATCAACGGAGCCTGCGGCGCGGGTGGGATGTGTAGAAAATCAATGTGTGGAAGTTGAACCTCACTAAAAACTCCAGCCGTTCATAGCCGGCGTCCTACCCCCGGACCGGACCGGAGCCCAGTCGGGGCTATTAAGACGGCGGGACAGGGTCGACGCAGAACATATTACCGCCATTCCGCCGTCCCCCAGACGCTAGACCGGCGGTCACCGGTGACACCACCACCGGCTCCCTCGGTCGACGGGCCGTGAGCCCGCTTTGATGGTGATTTTATGTACCCCAAGCACCGGTCATCGTTCTCTTCGACCCGTCGCTTGCGACGAAGGGCTCGGCGAGTAAATTAAACCACAGACGCAGCCTACTGAGTTTCTCGCTGGATCTTCTCAGTGGGTCGCGTTTCTGGTCCGGTGGTAGATTCTGCGAAGCACGGCTCTTGCTAGGATTCGTGTTAGCAACATTGTCAAAATTGAGCCCCGTGCACTACTAGCCCGGCGACGCTGACATGGTCTCTCTAGACCATCAGCTTAGGTTGGAAAAACAAAAAACTAAAAAAATATATGAAATAGCAGAAATTACCAACATTGCATTATTGTTGTGTAATTCATACTTACCCTACCCTGTTTGTTTTGAAGGTTGGCCGAAATACAAATAAAATATTTAATGAAAAGGAAATCCAAATGCGTACGTAACACATTTATTTAGACTAAAAATATTTACAAAACTTATATCAAATATAATAATAATAATAATTAAAAAAAACATGTAAATACTCTCCGAAAAAGCGTAAAAAATATTATGCGTTTTACATAGTTGTTTATGCATATTATGTCGAATTATTTACGATTTTGCTATAATTTACGTTAATACATAGATATTATTGTTTAATTTTCGCCTTTTTGATTTTTTTTATTATTTAATATCGAACTCATTTTAGTTGCCCGGGCTCTAGTAACCAGTTAACACCGCTTCGGCTACGAGCATCATTACCCAACGAGCGAGATTAAACCGTTAACCTCATAAGTAATACGATCCATAATAGCCCCTTTTGCTCCTTTAAATATATCGTTTTCGTATTCCCCTCGCCTGATTTACTCATAGCCTCGGAACGCATGCACAAAATTAAATATTTTAGTGAGTTATACATATAAAAAAAACTTTCGCTTATCGCAGTCTCATGTCATTGTGTCGACCAGTGATCGCCGTTATCATTACAAGAAAACAATAATTTGTAAGTACGGGGTGTATTGAAGACGTTCAACGTAGTCGTGTCTTCTCAATACGACGATGCTAAAATAAGCCTAATTTTTTTTCGTAAGAACGAAATGTATGAAAAGAGTTTGGAACGGAGTATTAAGATGTGAGTGAGAGGGAAAACGGTTAGAAAGGAAAAAGAGAAGGACAGAACAAAAGCAAGATGGCGAAGACGTTTGAACCAATGAAGTAGGAAACCTATGGAAATGAAACGTCAACCAAAATTTCGTGCCAGTGTGACGTCATCTGGCCACAAAACATGGCGGCTTTAGTGCTGTACAAAAGATTTCAATGTTATCAGGTTTTATCGATAAACGTTCTTGGCTCATTTTATTTTAAGTATTGTTGAGTATTATTTATTTGTAGAATTTATACTTTAATGGGAAGTAAGTAGGTATATTGTTATGTGCAAATATGATATGATTTAGATGGGTGAAATCTAAGACAAGTTCGTCCTTCGAATTTGCCAAGTAAACGATATGATGATTTTTAAAAGTTGCTACACTGATTTTATAAAGTTGTCGTTTGTCGCAAAACATAAAGATATGGCGTAGTTCAAAGCCATCAGCCCATTTCTAGCATGCTAAATGTTATCGTATTTTGAGTACGTGTTTTTCTTAGACTATTACAATCTATTTTAATTGTTTTGCTGACTCTAAAGTCCGTAACATACTACCGCAGCGCACCCCAAGGAAGGTGCGCCGCACCATTTGAATCACTTTCGCTTGAGAGTGATTCAAATTTTAAACTTATCAAGGGACCGCGTGAAAAAAAAAACACCTACAGAACATTTATTCATTAATTACAAACGTCATTCCTTGTGACTTCCTCTCTAAAATCACTTAATTATTAAATATTTAACAAATTTACAATAGTGTTTTACTCACTGCGGAATAAAACTATTTTATTTAAATAGTTCCGAAGAGATTTTGTCGGTAGCCTTTTTCCCGAAATATCTAAACAGAATGTCTAAATATGTTTTGATGACATATTTTAAAGTGGTATTTATGATTAGTGTCATGATCAATAGATTCCGACCGAAAAATGGATTTTTCGGATGAGGGCTCCATAATGAATTTAAATACATATAGATAATAGTTTTAGGGCATCGACTTTCTTGAGATCCTATAAAATACGTTTTAATTATTATTTTTGTATGTTTTAAGCATGATAAATTATGAAATTTTATATAATCAATCATATTAAATCGATATCAAAGTCAATAAATAATGTACAACCCAAAACAGACGGCCGAACTGACGTGACAATGACATTTGGCGCGCTAAACATGGCGGATTTTCGGCCTCATTAGACGGAGACGGAGACATTTACGTATATTCATGTTTCATTTTATGTACGCACTGAAATACTGTTATATTGTTTTCCTGCGAGTTAAAGTGCTGAGTAAGAACGAGATAGATATATGTTTATGTATGTGCCTTCAAAATGGGTGCTATTTATATAAGCAATTGTACGTATAGAACAATATGTCGTGTCCCTACTATATAGGTCTATGGTTTGAACGAGCAAAGCGTAAAAAAGGCGTCAGATAATATTTAATTAATATTAAAATAGAGAAGATTTGAGAAGAGAACAATAAAAATGCAACAATAGAATAGTCTTATTTTATGCGCCACGATTTCAGTTCTACATATAATGTCACGTTTCATTTTTATTGAATGCACTATCTAAACACAATTAAAAATGCGAAGACACACGGGGTCAGCGACCTCGGACGCGGTAAAATTTTACGTTTAGTAGGTGAGGATTCCGGACTATTTTATCTCGGCTTTCGGTTTCGGGAACGTATTCAATACACTCTGTTTACATTAATCAAAACATCTAGAAGCGTCTAGAAATCTCTCGCATTACGATACACATTACGGAGTCGACGCGAAGCTCCCTCAAAACACATTTGTTTCCAAAAGGCGTCACAATTAAAAATTACAGATTTACAAACAAACGCCCAATCTGTAACTTAATCCACTCGATCGATATTTTCAAATGCCAGCGTCAATTACTCCGAGCGTCACAAGTATTAAAATGTTCTACATACAAAAATAATGTCATAACACTATGATGCTGATATATGAGACCCTAAAGATTTTTATTTTATTAAAAAACTTAAAACTTCTTTGTAGCTTCGAAGAGACACATGGCTACACTAAAGCAGTGTAAGTAGTGTATTTCATTTCGGACAATTACATTAAAGGGGAGCCTCACATTTTTATCTTACAAGTTGATTTATTCTTAATAATAAAACTACAAATACTGCAATCAAACCACCATGGTTTTCTCCGGCTGTGGCCTAACACGATGGAACCTTAGTCTTCTGAATCTGCGCAGAGGACATATCCCGTTAGTTTTGTCGTAAGATCCGTATTCACAGGACGGCTGGTTGCAGTGTCCTTGTGCTACGCAGACGCGGTCTCGGAGGCCGAAGTGCTCCTTGCCTCGCGCGAGGGACAGGCAGTCCCTCCGACGGGCGGCTTCGGGCCAGTCGCAGATGCAAGAGCAGGAGCCGTTCTCTGGTGTACTCAAGAACAAAGTCGGACAGGTGCATCTGCAAAAAAGATTACGATTATAATAATACGTACTCAACAAATGTTCACGATTGACTCCCACGGTGAAGGAATAACATCGTGTAACAAAAATCAAACCCGCAAAATTATAATTTGCATAATTGCTGGTGGTAGGACCCCTTATGAGTCCGCGCGGGTGGGTACCACCACCCTACCTATTTCTACCGTGAAGCAGTAATGCGTTTCGGTTTGAAGGGTGGGGCAGCCGTTGTACCTATACTTGAGATCTTAGAACTTATATCTCTAGGTGGGTGGCGCATTTACGTTGTGGGATGTCTATGGGCTCCAGTAACCACTTAACACCAGGTGGGTTGTGAGTTCGTCCACCCATCTAAGCAACAAAAAAAAGGCACTCACTATATACTGGTGGGAAAGCCTAATGTAAGCCTACGAGGGTAGATACCGCCATCCTGCTCATATCTGCTGTGAAGCAGTTTCAGTAGTTCCGTAATTGATATTACAACCTCATGTCAAATGGTGAGTGTCGGTAGCTCATACGGATATTTTTTCCATTGTTCTAAATAAGTAACCAGCTTAAAGCCCACCTGATTTCAACTCCCTGCCATAACCTGAGTGCTACGACTAGCCTTGAAACCGAATACTATGTTTGCTTCATGGCAGAAATAGACAGTGGGTTCTATTGCCGTGGACTAACAATATTCCCTACCACTGATAGTTATATAAATTGATATTTTTATTATTATTACGCGCTGAGCTTCTGGATAAATAAAAAAATCTACCGAAATACAAATTAAAACTGTATTAACACTTAAAACGCTTAAGGAACACTTTAAGACTTTCCGCTTCGCTTCAGGTGATCCGTTCTCTGTTTCGAGAGCTTTCCTGATAAGTCGAGTAGTTTCGATATGTGTTTCCGCTATCAGACAATAGATGGCGTTGTACTTCCCGAGCGTTCTCGATTTTACTAGTTCCCTTAATATTCGCTTCCACTATTTGACGACAGATGACGTTGATCTTACCGGTGTGACATTATTATTGGATTCGTTTGCGTAAATTTTTAGTGATAGGGATCCAGTGTTTACTTTGGAATATATGTCTAAGCTAAAACATTCGTATTTGAATTTAGATAATTTAATCATTGCGAGTCTACGTATGGAAATGGTGGTCCAAAATAGAGGTCGAAGAGATCGACCGAAGAAGACATGGATGGAGTGTGTGAATGACGATATGATTGAGTGTTGAGATGACGACTGATAGAAGAGAATGGAATAGAAAAAATCGATATGGTGCTGACTCTACCTAGCAGTGGTGGGTTTACACTAGGGACAGTCGGGTTAAGTGCCCAGGGCGGCAAATTTTTTAGGGCCGCAAAATTTTGAAAGTAATTTTTTTTTTAGTCGTATGAAGATTGCTCAATATAATTAATAAATAATTTTCTTTTTAACTGATAATTCAAGCAATTTATTTATCCATTATTTGTGAATTATAATTTTGGTACTTTTGGTAAAAATTATTAATTCATCAATTTATTTCCTTAGATATTTAAAATAATAATCGATTTTTCTATTTTCTGTATTTAAAGAAATTTAATCAGTTTTTTTTTTATGTAATCTAATAATAATTATGAGTTGCCTTTAGTGCAAAATTTATAATTGTTAGAAAAAAAACAAATACATATTTATTTATGTTTTTGGATTATATGATAAAGTTTCCGCAATAAATTAGTTATTTTAGTTTTGAAAAAAAAAATGTAAACTATAAGTTTAGGTAAAATTCCAGGATTGGGGTGAATTTTTTTTCGGTGCCCAGGAGCGGCATTAAGTTTAAATCCGGCCCTGCTACCTAGTGAGATAAGGTGGAGAAAAAGAAGAATCATTGCGATTCTACGTTGCAATTGCTGTGACAGATTCAAACCTGCGTAGTTGTGGAGGGGCTGTTGGCTCCTCGCTGTCCAGCTTCGGAGCTTCCGTGGGCATCCTCCAGTCGTTTTGACTTTCGATGGCCAGGTCTCTCCTTGGTTCAGGCTCGGGCTTGCTCTCGATCCTGGTTCTGATAGTCGTCTGCAGAGTCTCTCTGGAGACGCAGGCGCATTTAGTGTGGTTGTAGAACACCATTCTGGCCACGTTCGTGTTACCGTCTGCTTTGTGTAACTGCAAATTAGAATTATTTTTGGTGTATTTTTCTTACTGGTGGTAGGACGTCATGTGAGTCCGCGCGGGTAGGTACCACCGCCCTGCCTGTTTCTGCCGTGAAGCAGTAATGCGTTTCGGTTTGAAGGGCGGGGTAGCCGTTGTAACTATACTTGAGACCTCAGAACTTATATCTCAAGATGGGTGGCGCATTTTCGTTGTAGATGTCTATGGGCTCCAGTAACCACTTAACACCATGTGGGCTGTGAGCTCGTCCACCCAATTAAGCAAAAAAAAATTACCTGAGTCCACAGACATCTACAACGTAAAATCGAGTATTTACCTGAGTCCATAGCCATTTACAACGTAAATGCCGCCACCCAGCTTGAGATATGAGTTTTAATGTCTCAGTATAGTTACAACGGCTGCCCCGCCCTTCAAACCGAAACGCATTACTGCTTCACGGCAGAAATAGGCAGGAACCCACCCGTGCGGACACACAAGAGGTCCTACCACCAGTAATTAAGCAAATCTACTTACTTCTATTTGACTAATTCAGCATGTAACCAGTCAATCTAAATCTATTCATAATTAAATGACCCAGCAGACTTCGTAGTGCCTCAATTGATAAATAAAAGACCTAAACTTTTGTATAAAATAAACTTAAAACAGACAAAAGGAATCCGTCCGACGAGGGACAAATCATAGGAAAACTAAATTGTTATTTTTATTTAATTCCGAGCATTTTTATATTTATCTACCTTTTAAACCTTTTCTGGACTTCCACAAATAATTCAAGACCAAAATTAGACAAATCGGTCCAGCCTTTCTCGAGTTTTAGCGAGACTAACGAACAGCAATTCATTTTTATATATATAGATAGAAGAAGAAGACTGATTAGAGTACTCACATAAAATGGTAATGCGACATATTTCCCTTCGATGGGTGCGCATATGTCAGCGTCGTTGGTACAACAGCCGGAGTCAGGAGTGCAACGGTGGAGCCGGACACACGAGGGCATGTAGCTGGAAATTATTCATCATTATTACTTTTAGCGATAAGACCGCCTATTGTACAATATGTGTGTCTGCTTGTTGACTGTTTTCTAATGTTCATTTTATTTTTTATTTTTATTGCTTAGATCGGTGGACGAGCTCACAGCCCACCTGGTGTTAAGTGGTTACTGGAGCCCATAGACATCCACAACGTAAATGCGCCACCCACCTTGAGATATAAGCTCTAAGGTCTCATGTATAGTTACAACAGCTGCCCCACCCTTCAAACCGAAGCGCATTACTGCTTCACGGCAGAAATAGGCAGGGTGGTGGTACCTACCCGTGCCGACTCACAAGAGGTCCTACTACCACTAGAGTGTACTGTAGTGTACAGTAGAGGTGTATTGATACGTGTTCACGGGGACTTCCATAATGAAGGAAAATCATCGTGTCGAAGAAAATCGGTTGTATTTCCTGGTTGTAGAACGCGTTATGAGCCCGCCCGAGTTGGTACGAGAGTATTGCCTATTGCTGTCGCAAATCTGCCATGCGTTCCGGCTTGAAGAGTGGGTACTGTCGTAGAATACAAAAGATACTTCTAATTCATGTCTCAAGATGGGCAACAACATTCACGTTGGATGTCTCTGAATATCGGCAACTACTCAAGATCATGTCAGCTCGCCAATCCATTTTCTTCTTCTTCTTTTTCTGAGTCCGTCTCTTCAGTGCTGAAGGTCGTGTTTAGTTTAAAACATACACCACTCGATGCTCTATACTTTCCCACGTCTTCCTGTCCTCGACGGTATATATATTTTTTTAAATCCATCTCGTGCCACAAAATATGAGTAGATGTTTAGTTAAAGCCCAACCACACTAGACAGTGGGCACTAGCACTTACTTTGTATCCGCGGCGGGCGCCATCTGCCGGACGGTGAGCCAGCGAGCCTGTGGAGTGTGACATCTACTCTCCCTGATGAACTTGGCCGCGTTAGCGAACGCCTCCTGACGAAGCTGCGTTCCCAATTTGGTCAATGATGCTGAAATCATTTTCAAGGTACGTTTAGTTCGCGCTCTACAGGTGCGTGTATGAGGTCGTTGTGGCTTAAAGGATAAAACGTCTGGCATACTTCTAGCAAGCAAACGTGTCGGTGTTCATATCACCCTTGTATATATACATTTTTATGAAATTCCTACTTAGTATATTATGATGATCACGAATAACTTCCACGATAGAGACATATCGTCGCTTGATATAAATCAAACCCGCAATAAATACAATTTATGAATGATAGTCAATGAGGGTAAGATGCATTATGAGCTCGCCTTGATTTGCAACACCGCCCAGCTTGTTTGCCCAGTCTTGTGTTCTGATTCGAAGGGCTGAGACAACCTTTAGATGGTACAATTGAGACTTAGACATTGCGTTTCAAGGTTTGTGGTAGCATTCATGTTACGATGCATATATATTTCGCAAACGTCTACTTGTTTACTCAATTACAGTAATGATATTGTGATACTAACTTTCATCCAAGATTCTGGGTCTCTCATTCGTCAAAGCGATCGGTTCAGCCGCTGATATGATGGTCTTTTTGTAGGTGGTCTTAGTGAATGCCGAGGGCATGGTTCCGAGAAGTGGCTTGGACGTGGAGAATGTGACCTCTTCCTCAGTCTCCCAGTCTTTGTCGTTTAGGTAGTCGCCTTCGGAAAGATCTTTCAGCAACTAAAATGTAAAAAAAAATTTGCATTAATTTTCAATTTTTGTTTACTTAAGTATTCGTTAAGTCGCTTAAGCTAGGGGCTATGCCAGTTACGCGCAGACGGTTAGCTTACTAGCCCTAGCAAGAGCAGTGCTTCGCAGAATCTACTACTGGATCGGAATCGCGATCCACTGAGAAGATCTGGCGTTCTCGCCAGGATTGAGGTTCTCCTCAGTGGGTTATTTCTGTGGGATCTTCAATCGGGAAGTTGCAACGCACAACGCAGCAATGGGCGGAACAAACTCAAACCTCATCTGCAGTACCAAGGTTGAACTTGGTATAACAACATTCCTTATCAGTGAAACGACATTTCCTTGCTTTAATCACATGTATGGTCAGAATTTCAGATGACAATAAAATATTAGTCAACACGCGACCTTTGAATGTAAAAAGAGTCAGGCTCTCGAGTGCTCACGATTTGTCTGTAAATATTTCGTTTAGTAATTCTAATGTGTGTTTTTTTTTAAATTTGTTATTCCGACTTTTTTTACCGACTACAAAGCTAAGAGAATGGGTTATGACTTAGCAATTTATTTACGATCGTGTGTGTTTCAGTTTACGTATTACATTTTTATTGCCCTTGTAGGCAGACGATCACTCGGCCTTACCCGATGGTGAGCAGTTACTATGGGCGTCAGCATGCCAGGGGTAGAGCCAAGCCGTTGGCCAACAGTGGTTACTCTCCGCAAGCTTCGTTTGAAGAAGGACATATTCATAGCGTTCAGGAAACAGCGTGGAAGGGAATTCATTGCAAAATCAGATGGTACGTGGCGAAAAAAGAATATTACACTAAGTAATTTATTTTGGGCATATATAATACGTGCTTAAATAGTCTCAAATATTGATGCAAAATACTTCAAATGAAATAAATGCTTTGTCACACGCTTAAATCCTCTAATAAATTTTCTTCTTAATTAAAAGTAGTCGAAGTAAAGAAGTACAAGTATTACAAAAAAATCGTGATTTGTTTTAATAGTGACAGCTGGTTCTTAGATTGCTACATAATATATCATTAGCGGCCGATTGCTTAATTTTAATTTTAATTTTACTAGCTGGTTATAAGTATTACTTTACTAACAATATATGGACTTATAATGGTCTGAATAATTTTTTTTATTTTTTATAACGACACAGAGACTTAAAGTTACTGGAAACGATTTAGGTCACGACTCCTTTGAACGTGGTACACTTGTGTTACGTTTTTTGTTCCGGCTGCTAATATTATACAACATCAAGTCTTGATTGAAAAGCAACTTAACTATGGCTCGATCACGCATAATATTTAATAAAAGTTTTTTTTTATTGCCCTTGTAGACAGACGAGCATACGGCCCACCTGATGGTGAGTGTTGCCGTCGCCCATGGACTTCAGCAATGCCAGGGGCAGAGCCAAGGCGCCGCCTACCGAGTGTCGAGAGTGCTAGAAGATGATTAATCTACTGGCCACTATTTCCTCATAAGCTTCTTTTATTTTACAAATGACAACAACTAAAGTGGGACGAAAATTGTAGCGAAAGAGTTTCAGAAATGAAGAAAACGACCATCTAGAAGTTTCTTTAAGACCGAAAGACATGTGTCTTGTCAACTGTCATGTGTTTTTTTTTTTTGTTAAAATCCTAAGAGTTTGCTAATTTGCATAATTCGTATGGCGAGCGTATTGAGAACCCGAGCGAATAGACACAGACCGTTGCCTATTTCTGTCAGAAAAAAAAAATGGATTCTTGTTTTGAAAATCTTATAGGATCTCCTAGGCGCAAACAGAGTACAATTTGGGATGTCTGTCTCGCTCTAGCACGGGCTTAAATTTTTTATAAAAAAAGTATACTCTGTACGTCTGAAAACTAAAGAAATATCTATAATCAATAGCGTTTTTTTCCGCATATGATACAATTGAAGCTCGACCTCTTATCCGATAAGGCGGAGTTCACGAAAGTCTAATCAATCCTTAGCCCCAGATGAAGATTAATCTTTGCGGGTGACGAATAAAAAGACATAGGATAGAATAGAAAGAAGACAAAGAAAAAGAAATAGACATGTAACTGGTGGTAGGACCTCTTGTGAGTCCGCACGGGTAAGTACCACCACCCCGCCTATTTCTGCCGTGAAGCAGTAATGCGTTTCGGTTTGAAGGGTGGGGCAGCCGTTGTAACTGTACCAAATATACTGAGACCTTAGAACTTATATCTCAAGGTGTGCGGCGAATTTACGTTGTAGATGTCTATGGGCTCCAGTAACCACTTAACACCAGTTGGGCTGTGAGCTCGTCCACTCATCTAAGCAATAAAAAAAATATCGAAACATCAATTACAGTTAAAATTAAGACGTTAATGTGCGTCATCTAAGAACTCGAAAAGTAACTCACAAGAGCTTTAACTAAAAGCTTAAACTTAATTCTTTTTCTCCACCTTATCCCACTAGGTGGGGTCGGCACAGCTAATTTTTCTCTTCCATTCTCTTCTATCAGCCGTCATCTCGACACTCACTCCTCTCTCTCTCATATCGTCATTCACACACTCCATCCATGTCTTCTTCGGTCGACCTCTTCCCCTTCTACCTTGCACTACCATTTCCATACATCTTCCATCATCCATCAAACTTTAAATGACATTATATAAAAAAAACTAACAAGACCCTTACATCGATTTCCCGAATACAGCCCTGCAAACATCATCGCCCATGCGGTTCCAAGAATAGCCAATGTATTTTTACTCGCGTCTGGTTCATTTCACAATCCTACATACGGCTTTTACGATACGATCGATCAAAGAAATATCTTTTGAAAGGTTTTTTTTTATACCTCGTAACATTCTTTGTAGTTTATTTTGCGATTCGAAAATGTTCTGCTGAGGATGTTGCCGCCTTGATGTTTGGTATTTTTATTGAGGGTTTGTTAGTTTTCTTGACGCAGGCGTGTGAAACATACGAAGTCTTTAAATTTGTCCAGAGCACCACCCCATCTATTCTCGTGGGTTTTTTTCCCTGCCTATTCGCTGATAGCCTAAGAAAGGGGATATTTCAGCTACGCCCGGACCGGTATCTGGAGCTCACGGGCTCAACCTAAGAGAATTTATTAACATTAGCCCTAGCAAGAGCAGTGTTTAGTACAATCTACCACAAAATTGTGATCCACTAAGAAGAAGTAGAAGAATCTAGAAGAAGATCCGGCGAGAAACTCAGTGGTTTGTGTCTATGGGATCCCTTGGATGTTGTAAGCTATGGGACTCACTGCAAAATAGGTACCATACTCCGATTATAATTATCATACCAGTATACTGCGATCATCATTCCGCATTGCTCGTGGATGTATTGAGTTCGAGTAGGTACCATCCTGGTCACCGTCCTCGCCGGACCCGTCACTTGCGACGAAGGGCTCGACGAGTAAATTAACCCATAGACATAGCCCACTGAGTTTTTCGCCGGGTCTTCTCAGTGGGTCGCGATTCGATTCGGTGGTAGATTCTGCGAAGAACTGCTCTTGATAGGGCCAGTGTTAGCAACACTCCCGGTTTGAACCCCGAGAGCTCACCTACACGCTAGGGTGAAGCTGAAATAGCCTCTCAAGGCTATCAACATAGGTAGGAAAAAAAGGTACCATAATATTGCTCATTTCTGTCGTGAAGCTACCGTGCATTCCAGTTTGAAGAGTGGGGCAGCCGTATTATAGAAATGAGGTCGACCTCATACTACAAGCTAGATTTCTATAAGCCCCTAGTAACCGTTTAATAACAGATGGGCCGAAAACCGATTTATTCACGAAATAAAAAATAAAAATATTATAAAAGTCAATTTCTTTTAATACGGATTTGTAACACATTCGACACGTTTTTTTTTTCTTGCTGCTCTCCGTAACATAAAGTTTAACAATACTCAAATCATTTCTTAGCGTGTACTTAATAAACGATACAAGATTTGATCTTCACATGTTGGTCTATATATCTTTACAACTCTATAACTCCACTGAATCTGGTGTTATCAATTTTGTCTTGTCGATTCTGGCACGAATAACATTAGAGAAAACGTTAGTAGGAACGCGTGGGACGTCAATTTTTTTTTTAACGAATTTTATGACCTGGTCCCTTAAGACCTTTAGGGCAAGTCTTATTTTAATTTTCAATCCTATTTTTATTAAAAATTATAATGTGGAGTGAAATTAAGTGAAATAAAATAAAGATGATATGGGATAAAATATAATAAAGTAAAAATGGTGGTCATTTACTGAGATTTTTTCAGTGGACTTTTTGGAGGATCCTGAAAAGTTACGTCCAGCGGCTTTGTTTTATTTTCCCACATTTGTGCACCTTAACAGATATTAAACAGTTAATAAAACACCGTTATTACCCATTTAAACCTGAACAAACACTAAATAGACAAAATTAAGCAAATCACACAACTTCACTTCACGCGTTCCCGCCAAAAAGTCTGGAAAGTCAATGAAAACATTAGTTCCGTTGAAGACATTTTACATTGCGTGCTTAATGAGACAGCTTCGTGCATTCTCTTGCTCGTCAGTGAAAGATAACAGGACGAGTCCAGGCAGGATGTTAGGTCGAAAGCCGAAGGTTAGGTACACAGATTGCCAATCAGCGTTAGGGAAATCTAAATATATAATATACAAATAGGTCAAATGACGTCACCGAAATGTGTAGAGTACACTTTGATATAAACGAAGAAAATAATACATCATAAATGCAATAAAAACGCAAGAGTGCTGAGTTTACTGGTGGTAGGACCTCTTGTGAGTCCGCGCGGGTAGGTACCACCACCCTGCCTATTTCTGCCGTGAAACAGTAATGCGTTTCGGTTTGAAGGGTGGGGCAGCCGTTGTAACTATACTTGTGACCTTAGAACTTATATCTCAAGGTGGGTAGCGCATTTACGTTGTGGATGTCTATGAGCTCCAGTATCCACTTAACACCAGGTGGGCTGCGAGATCATCCACCCATCTAAGCAATAAAAAAAACAGC